TTTTTTTTTTAAAGTATATTCTACTCTTTTCAGAGTTGGTGTTTTAAAATTTTATTTTATTTATTCTTTTTTTTTTTTTTGGAGAGGTTTTTGCTATAGGGTGTATGTGCTCGCCAGAAAGAAAGAGACAGAGAGACAGAAAGTGAGAAATCACTCTCCAGGGGAGAAAAGGGGATCACAGTATGCCCAGACCCTGTGGAGGGAGCTCATCTTTCTTACTCTCATGTACAGGCACAGGTGATCTATCCTGAATAAAGAAAAAAAAATCAGGTTGAACCTGTGCTCTAACTTCAGCTCTCCATTTAACTAGCTATGTGCTGTTGCATAAAATGACTTAGCTTCTTTGAGCTTTCCTCTTTTGCAATGAAAATCATCATGGCATGATGGTTATGTCACTAGACTTCCGTGCAGTTGACCACAGTTCGAGTCCCAGACATGGCAGCTTAAAATTCACTCTGGGTGTGTGTGAGCACCAAATCCAAGAGGAGAATGGAGGAGAAAGGATTGCAGCGTGGTCATCCCCCTCAATGCTGTAGGGGTGATTTCTTGCTTTCTGTCTCTCTGTCTCTCTAGCAAGTATATGTGTCCTATAGGAAAAAATCTCTCTTAAAAAAAAAAGAAAGAAAATCATCATCCTCCTCTTTTTTCTTTCTGGGTTGTTGAGAAAGAAGGTCAAGAGGATAATGAGTGTAAGTCCTTGCTTTATACAATTCTTGGGACAGAGTAACTGTATGAATGTTAGTTCTGTTTGCTCTTTCACACAGTAGCTGTTACAGTAAGTTGAACATGACTCAATCCTTCACTGAGTTATAATACTGAAAACATTGTTTCATCGGACAGATACTATTATCAATCAGTGTACCCACTGACACATTGACAAGCTGGTTTCTCACATACAAAGACATGTGTGACAACAAATATACTGTCATTACACATGCTTAGGCATCTCTTACACATACCAGGAATGTGATTATGGCATCAAATTGCCCTTGGATTCATTCTTACCTAGCTAAAGTCTAGCTCAGCACTTACGTTATCAGTTTCGTGAACTTGGACAAGTGACGTGAACTCTTTAAATCTTGGTTTCCTTATCTATAAAATGAAGAAATAGTAACAGTATTGGGGCCAGCAGGTGGTATAGTGGTTATGTTGTTGGATTCCTATATGGCCGACCACGGTTCAAGTCCCAGACCCGGTGGTTGGAAAATCACACCAGGTGCATGGGCATGAGTGCCCAAGATCCCAGGAGGAGAATAGAAGATTTCTCTTTCCTTCTCAATGTTTCTGTTTCCCTCTCTTCAGCAAGTTCACACACCCTAAGGCAAAAACCTCTAAAACGAACAAATAAAAACAGTACCTACCTCACAGGTTTCTTATGAACATTAAATAAGACAATATGGGAAAGACCTCATTTTTGTTTTTGTCATTGATTGAATAACTTTTCTATTGAGGTCAAAAGTTAATACCCATTCCTTTCTCTACAGCTTTCTGACACCAATTTATAAGCCTCGGGATACCTAACTGGGATATGAGTGGGGCTCTCAAGGGAGGTGACACTTGAGCTGAATCTAGAAGGGTGCGAGCCATCTAGAGGAGGCATTTCAGGTAGAGGAATGCAGCGCTATGTACTGCCTACAGCACATTAGATGTTAGCAGGACAGGGAGTTGTAATTCAGTATGCTGGGAATATTCTAAACAAGGCCATGGGAGAGGTGTCTTTTTTTTTTTTTTTAAAGTATATTCTACTCTTTTCAGAGTTGGTGTTTTAAAATTTTATTTTATTTATTCTTTTTTTTTTTTTTGGAGAGGTTTTTGCTATAGGGTGTATGTGCTCGCCAGAAAGAAAGAGACAGAGAGACAGAAAGTGAGAAATCACTCTCCAGGGGAGATGGCCACGCCGCAATCCCTTCTCCTCCATTCTCCTCTCGGGATCTTGGGCACGCCTACACATGCGCCCAGCGTGAGTTTAAGCCACTGGGTCTGGGACTTGAACCTCAGTTGGCTACATGGGAGTCCAGCAACATAGCCATTATGCCAACTGCTGGTCCCTCGGTCTTTTTTTTTTTTTTTTTTTTTGAGAGATTTTTGCTATGGAGCACGTGCGCTTGCCGGAGAGACAGAGAAAGACAGAAAGCAAGAAACTACCCCACAAGGTGGATGGCCACACTGTAATCCCTTCTCCTCCGTTCTCCTCTCGGGATCCTGGGCACGCACACACAAGCAACCAGCCTGAGTTTGAGCCACCGGGTCCCGAACTTGAACCGCGGTTGACTACAAGGGAGTCCAGCAACATAGCCATTATGCCAACTGCTGGTTCCAATTATTATTTTAAAAAATGTGACTAGAGAAAGACATATGCAGAGAGGGAAAGTGAGAACAGAAGCCAGCAGGTCTAGGACGTGAACAGTGGCCGGTCATGTAGGAGTTCAGTGCCTCAACCATGACACCACCTGCTGGCCCCATATTTTCTTTTCTCTATAAAATGTTGCCAGGGACCAGGAGGTAGTGTGGTGGGTAAGGCACTGGACTCCCACATGGTGGACAGGGGTTTTAGTTCCGGACCCAAGAGCTTTGAACGCACACTGGGTGTGCACGTGCATGCCCCAAATCCCAGAGTAGAATAGAGAAGGGATTGTGGCATGGCCATCAACCCTGGGGTATGATTTTTCAATTTCTCTCTCTCTCTCTGGGAGTGCACATGCCTTAAGGCAAAAATCTAAAACAAAAAAATTTTTCCCCCAGAGGGCACATATGTTGGCCAGAGCCAGACAGAGACAGGGAGAGGGAGAAAGCACCCCCAACAGGAATGCTTTCCCTTTTCCTCTATTTCTCCATCCTTTCTGTATTTTGAGCACAGAGGCACACACACTAGATGTTTTTCTAACTGCCAGGTCTAGGACTCCAGCCATGGGGCAGCCAAGGGAGATCCAGTCACCAGGCCACAGAGCAGGCGCTAGTTTATTTTCTTAGCTTACTGTGTCTTCTAATCACTGTTCCAATGTAATTTTTTACTCATAAAACGTACACAATAGACCCATTTAGCTTAGTTTTGTTGACTACAGAACATGATTTGTTATAACTGCACTTCAGGAACAACTTTAGGTTATTTTCCTTTTTTAAAAAAATTTCATTTGTTCATTAATTTATTTTTCATTTGACAGAGAGAGAGAAGGGGGACGTGAGAAAGCAATCTACCAGGTCCAGGACTTGAATCGTGGTCAGCTATGTGGGAGTGTCCAGCACGTTAACCACCACGCCACCTGCTGGCCCCTATTTTCTTAAGATTCATTTAATTGTAGGGTTAGCAGGTGATGTGTGGTGGTTAAGGGCGCAGGACTCCTACATGGCCCACCGTGGTTCAAGTCCTGGACCTGGCAGTTTGCTTTCACACTTTCTCTGTTTCTTGAGCTCTCTCCCTCTCTGGTCAAATTGGAAAATGGACTAAAAAAGTAAAATAAAATAATTGTTAAATAATTATTTAATTGTATTTATTATTATTATTGTACAATTGTATTTATTATTTTTTAAAATTTGGTGTAGGGCACACATGCTCACTGTCTGCTGGCCGGCCGTGGCCTCTCTTCCCTTGCTCACCAGAGCAAGATAGAGAAAGTAAGCCACCAAGTCCAGGACTCGAATCACTCTCTACCATGGTGGGAGTCGATCGTCCTGATCACCATGCCATCTGCCGGCTCCAAAATAAGGTTCTTAAATAAGAACTACTGAAGGCATTTCCTCTAAAAAAAAAAAAAAAAAACAAACAAACAAAAACACACACACACACACAAAAACCTCCCTGAAAAACAAAAACCCCAAGATTTTCACCATTGAAAATGAGATGAGTTCTACCTATCCCCTCCATAGGAGTCTCGGACTCTAGTTTGTTTGTTGCCCTTGTTCCAAAAACGTCTTCCTCATTTACTAAGTCCAGAAAACTCTTTTTTTTTTTTTTTTTTTTGAGAGATTTTCGCTTTACGGACCCTGCGCTCGCCAGACAGAAAGAGAGAGACATAGAGACAGAAAGGAGAAATCACCCCCCAGGGGTTATGGTCACGCTGCCACCGCAATCCCTTCTCCTCCATTCTCCTCTGGGGATCTTGGGCACGCACGCACACGCGCCCGGCGTGAGATTTAAGCCACCGGGTCCGGGACGCGAACCACGGTCGATTACGTGGGAGTCCAGCGACATAGCCATTCTGCTAACTGCTGGTTCCCAGAAAAATCTTTTAAGAAGTTATAATGTTTCTTCCATCACCAACATATAGGGTGGCTAGATCTTTATTTCTGATTGCCATTCCAAAAACTAAAAACGATGAGTAAGTATATCAAATAATCCAGTACATATTATGCTGCCTAGTTCACCTGTGACTTCCACGGAGGGGTCGAACTAAGGCGCGCAGGGATGCGACATTCTATTCCTAGGGCAAACTTCTCTTTCGCAGGATTAGTCAGGGGCGGAGGCTCCGTCGGAGGTTAGGGGAAAGGAGTGTGAATCTAGATAAGCTCCCCTTCCGCAGATTTCCGGGGAACAACGAATGCACCTGATGCCCGCGTGGCTCCGGAGAGCTGAGGGAGGCGGGGCTGGACAGAGGCTGAGGACTCAGGGCCACCCGGACGACTCCGCCCATTGCAAGCTTTCGCACGTTCTCGTGAGGGCGCGCGCGCGCACGCAATCGTGTCTCGCGCAGGGTCGGGCCTGTCAGGCGGGAAGTCTCGCGAGATCGGAGACGGGGAGGACTGTCGGGAGGAGGGGAGTGGTGTCGGGGAAGGGGGGGAAACCTGGGCAGCGGCCGGGCTCTGTGGCTTTGGGGGGCGGGGGGGGGGG